CATGATCTACTACTAGGCCCAGTAATAAGTAATCTAGAACATCATGATCTACTACTGGGCCCAGTAATAAGTAATCTATCAATCATGATCTACTACTGGGCCCAGTAATAAGTAATCTATCAATCATGATCTACTACTAGGCCCAGTAATAAGTAATCTATCAATCATGATCTACTACTGGGCCCAGTAATAAGTAATCTATTAATCATGATCTACTACTGGGCCCAGTAATAAGTAATCTATTCATCCTGATCTACTACTGGGCCCAGTAATAATTAATCTATCAATCATGATCTACTACTGGGCCCAGTAATAAGTAATCTATTAATCATGATCTACTACTGGGCCCAGTAATAAGTAATCTATCAATCATGATCTACTACTAGGCCCAGTAATAAGTAATCTATTAATCATGATCTACTACTGGGCCCAGTAATAAGTAATCTATTCATCCTGATCTACTACTGGGCCCAGTAATAATTAATCTATCAATCATGATCTACTACTGGGCCCAGTAATAAGTAATCTATCAATCATGATCTACTACTAAGCCCAGTAATAAGTAATCTATACATCATGATCTACTACTGGGCCCAGTAATAAGTAATCTATTCATCATGATCTACTACTGGGCCCAGTAATAATTAATCTATCAATCATGATCTACTACTAAGCCCAGTAATAAGTAATCTATCAATCATGATCTACTACTAAGCCCAGTAATAAGTAATCTATACATCATGATCTACTACTGGGCCCAGTAATAAGTAATCTATTCATCATGATCTACTACTGGGCCCAGTAATAATTAATCTATCAATCATGATCTACTACTGGGCCCAGTAATAAGTAATCTATTAATCATGATCTACTACTGGGCCCAGTAATAAGTAATCTATCAATCATGATCTACTACTAGGCCCAGTAATAAGTAATCTATCAATCATGATCTACTACTGGGCCCAGTAATAAGTAATCTATCAATCATGATCTACTACTAGGCCCAGTAATAAGTAATCTATCAATCATGATCTACTACTAAGCCCAGTAATAAGTAATCTATACATCATGATCTACTACTGGGCCCAGTAATAAGTAATCTATTCATCATGATCTACTACTGGGCCCAGTAATAAGTAATCTATCAATCATGATCTACTACTAGGCCCAGTAATAAGTAATCTATCAATCATGATCTACTACTAAGCCCAGTAATAAGTAATCTATACATCATGATCTACTACTGGGCCCAGTAATAAGTAATCTATTCATCATGATCTACTACTGGGCCCAGTAATAAGTAATCTATTCATCATGATCTACTACTGGGCCCAGTAATAATTAATCTATCAATCATGATCTACTACTAAGCCCAGTAATAACTATCAATCATGATCTACTACTGGGCCCAGTAATAAGTAATCTATCAATCATGATCTACTACTGGGCCCAGTAATAAGTAATCTATTAATCATGATCTACTACTAAGCCCAGTAATAACTATCAATCATGATCTACTACTAGGCCCAGTAATAACTATCAATCATGATCTACTACTAGGCCCAGTAATAACTATCAATCATGATCTACTACTAGGCCCAGTAATAAGTAATCTATCAATCATGATCTACTACTGGGCCCAGTAATAAGTAATCTATCAATCATGATCTACTACTGGGCCCAGTAATAAGTAATCTATCAATCATGATCTACTACTGGGCCCAGTAATAAGTAATCTATCAATCATGATCTACTACTGGGCCCAGTAATAAGTAATCTATCAATCATGATCTACTACTGGGCCCAGTAATAAGTAATCTATCAATCATGATCTACTACTGGGCCCAGTAATAAGTAATCTATCAATCAGGATCTACTACTGGGCCCAGTAATAAGTAATCTATCAATCATGATCTACTACTGGGCCCAGTAATAAGTAATCTATCAATCATGATGATCTACTACTGGGCCCAGTAATAATTAATCTATCAATCATGATCTACTACTGGGCCTAGTAAGCCTTAAGAACAACCAAGTTGAGTTGACCTTGCCAGGGGCAAAGTTAAATGTATATATATGTCGACCAATGAGATTGTGCCGACCACGCACTTTCGGCTTGCTGGGGAAGAGGTGTTGGAGAGAGGAAACAGTCGCCCATTTTGTGCCAAATAATTTGTAAAAAAATTATTCAGATAATTACAGAAAACGAAGTGACTATTCAGACTGGAGTCCGATAAGACAAAAATTTTCTTCAGACTCTGAATCGAGTCCAGCATGGCGTCCGTCCCGACTTCCGACCCTTGTTCCTAAATATTTCTAGCATTTGTGAAAAGGAAGTGAGTATTCCAACCCGGGGTAGAAATAATGGCAGCCTTATAAATATTGTCGATAATGAGACATATGAGTTTTAATATCTAGTTCCTTGATCTATCGAAACTGGCCCTCCCTGCATCATTAGCATGGTTGGTATGAACAGAACAACCAAATTGAGTTGACTTTGCCGGGGGGAAAAGTTAATTATGTCAATCAATGAGATTGTGCATAGCGATCACGCACTCTCCGCTTGCTGGGGGAAGAGGCCACGGCTGTCCATTTTGTGCGATGTGATTAAAAAAGAACATTAATTACAGAAAAGAAAACTATAACACACAACAAATTGAAACTAATCGTGAGGAAGGACAAATGGTGGTGTAAGTAATGATGATGCTGTAGTGGTGGTGTAAGTAATGATGATGCTGTAGTGGTGGTGTAAGTAATGATGATGCTGTAGTGGTGGTGGAAGTAATGATGATGCTGTAGTGGTGGTGGAAGTAATGATGATGCTGTTGTGGTGGTAGAAGTAAGGAAGATGCTGTAGTGGTGGTGGAAGTAATGATGATGCTGTAGTGGTGGTGGAAGTAAAGATGATGCTGTAATGGTGGTGGAAGTTATGATGATGCTGTAGTGGTGGTGGAAGTAATGATGATGCTGTAGTGGTGGTGGAAGTAATTATGATGCTGTAGTGGTGGTGGAAGTTATGATGATGCTGTAGTGGTGGTGGAAGTAATGATGATGCTGTAGTGGTGGTGGAAGTTATGATGATGCTGTAGTGGTGGTGGAAAAACCCTGAGTTGTGGGTTCCTGTGTACTTCAGTGCTTCCACCAGCTGAAGCAGAAAAGAAAGGAGAATTCCGCCGGGGGTCTGGGGGCCGCAGAGGACCCCAGCAGGGTCCAGGGACAGAGATTGAAATTTAGTGCTTTTAGAGGGTCGAGAATGGCAATCGGGAGCCTGTCTGAACAGATTGCCAACAGCCCATACTACTACTACCTATTTTTTCACCAAGATTTTGTCTTGTTTGATTTCTTCACCTAGAATCTACATGATATCTTTCCATTGAGCTGGCAATGTTATGTTTAAAGCAGGTTCCCCTTCCATTGCTACTATTTAATTTAATTTAATTAATTTTTCATCGCACCATTGATTAATTAAAGGCAAACCTAGGAATAATGAATAGATATACCTTCACAATACAGTTACCCAGCGTAAACCCTCATTTTCCCGTCTGAATGTCACATGTCACAAACTCGGAACAGCACTTCGATTTATTCTTGAACTTAGTAGTTTTAGGCTGGTTTTAGCACAAATTTCTTTCATCGCAGCCCTTCGTGTTCCCGTGCCGTAGAATCTTCGCATTGATCATTTTTCTAGATCTAGAAGAAATTGTGGCAAACAAGAAGTTTCTTTCTGACAGTAACTTTCTGTCTAAGATCACAAGTCAATTTACTTGAACAATGCGTGCATATTTTCCAGCAGTGGCGACAACCCAAAGATAGACAGACGGAATGAGTGAATGATAGAAAGGAGGAAAGTGGCACAAAAAGTCCGCCAGATTTTCATCAATCTGCAGGTAAAAAATGTACTGCCGACCAACCCGCAATGAATGCATGGATGGGGGGCATAGCGGATTTGGCCGATGGCAGGAAATGCGCAACCAGGCAGGTTTCTATAACACTATTGCTGAGAGAATTACCGTACATATCCGTAACTTAGATACGAAGACGTACGGATCTTTTGCTACGGAATTTTGGTAGTACTATGCTGTCGTAGATTTTTACGGAGGGAGTTAATAATGATGGAGGAACAAGTATGGAACTGGCAGTAAGTACGGATTTCTGTAAAAATACGGAAGAGTGGAAGCACTGACTGCCATCGGGCAAAGAGAGCAGTCTTTAGACTTGTGACACAAGAATTACTGTCCTAGATCTAGTAGGTAATTCTAGAAGTTCTAATTCTGGTTTGACGTAAAACCCCCCGACGACAGATAGAATTAAAACCTCCTTACTGACCTAACACTCACATAACTCACTTAGAAGTTGAGTCCGAATAAATATTTAAAAAAAAAATTTTTTCGACCCGAGTCCGAATAGATAAAACCCATATTTGGACTGTCCAGAGTCCGAATATAAAAAATCTAATCGGGGGTCTGAATAGAGCTGGAAGCTAAACAATCATTAGTCAACGGTTCTGCAGGTTTTTTTTTACTCATGCACCCGTCTCATGTACACGTTTTATGCACTTTTTTTTCAAAGTATTTTGCGCTGAACACGAATATGGCCTTCATTTTTGCCGCAAATCAATAGTTATTGAGTTATTACATGTTTGAAAATAAATAGTAAAATTTGACTTGATAAAGATTTTAAAATTGGGGGTTTCGGGGGGATGCCCCCCTGACCTAAAAAGAATCTGGGGGGGTTTCAGTTCAGGGGGAATGATTTTATGTTTTGTCAATTAGGATTGAAAACAATTGTTTTGCAATGGTTTTTTTAGTGGCCATACGTGTGTTCTACAGCAAAAATTAGGGCAGTTTAGCCCGCAAATCAATGCATCTGTGTGTGGGTGCATAAGTAAAAATTTACCGTTCTGCGAACTGATCTGGGAAATAAAGCTTAAAACCATCAATGGTTCTGCGAACTGATCTGGGAAATAAAGCTTAAAACCATCAATGGTTCTGCGAACTGACCTGGGAAATGGATCAAAGAACCAGGTTCTCTTTGTTTCTGGAAAGGCAACTCTCATCCCAGACATCAAGGGAGAATGCAGAATCACAGCTCCGACTTCATACCGTGAAGCAAGGTCTATTGTCGATACAGTTCCTATACTCTGCCCGTACAGGATAATGTTCTGAGGACTGATTCCATATCTTGTTCTCAAGGCTTGCCAAGCTGCATCAATGTCTGCATAGATATTTTTTTCCGAAGGCTTTCCACCACTGGCCCCATACCCTGAGTAATCAAAACTAAATATGTTACAGTTTATTCGAGAACCCAACCCAATGTAAAAACTGCTCATCTGACCTAAATCAACAGCATTTCCATGACTGAACAATATTGTGAACTTGGCATTGGGAGTGCATCTGGCAAACATACACACGATTCGATTGTGCTTGCTGGTCCGAGTGTAGAAGACCTCTATATTGTCTAGCTCTCTTTGACTGTACTGCCACTCAGCACGCTCCGTCAGGTGTAGGCTGTAGCGAGAGCCTGTCTCATCTGATATGAGATCATACGTCTTTTCGGGAGGCAGGAATGCAAGTTTAGCAGCAATTCTTGATGGACACGGCGGGCAACAGAAAAGGCAACAAAGCTCGCTGAACGACAACCCGTTCATGATGCTCTGGGAATGGAGACAAATGTAGGAAGCAGAAGGAAATAAAATCAAGGTCGTGGAATCTCCATTCACTTAATACAGAGTATAAAAGCTGCCGTGGGAATGAGCAAGAAATAATTAACAGACGGTCACCAAAACAACTGTTCCATTCAGAACACTTCCTTCTCTTGGTGAATGTTGTGTGCCATCAACACCATTCCATGACGTCATGCCGGAAGTGGGGGCGGTGGGTAAGCCCTCCAATCGAAAACTGCGACCGGAATTTTGCCCACAACAATTAAATAGATATTGTCAGTTTTTAAAAATTTCCCTTGTCTTGAAAGTTAAAATGAGCAGTCACGAACACCTTTTCTATGGTCGTGTGTGTTTCCTGGATACACTGTGTTACGTTCTTGGATGTACACACATGATACACTGTGCATGCGGAGCCTAACGTCTTCTATTTTGTTCTTCGGAACGAGGCTGGCTGCCGCAAAACTAAGGGATGTAACCGACGAAAAACCTGTCGTTGCAATTCTGTCGCTAACCTCCCTTCTTCAATGGAAGAGGTGTAGATGGAAAAGATCGAAGAATGATATAATAGAGTCTATATATAATATTTTTTATTCGGTACATTTATAGAAATTTGTACTGGAGTAAAAACACTGCTGTAAAAATTAAAGGAAAATACAGCGATATCAGCAGGTTGAAAGAAGAGTGCTGTAAAAGTATGCGTGATGTCACCAGCTCTCTCTATAGGCCTGTACCATAGATGGAAGGGGGTAACTCTATGGCCCGTACCATAGATGGAAGGGGGTAACTCTATGGCCCGTACCATAGATGTAAGGGGGTAACTCTATGGCCTGTACCATAGATGGAAGTGGGTAACTCTATGGCCCGTACCATAGATGGAAGGGGGTAACTCTATGGCACGTACCATAGATAGAAGGGGGTAACTCTATGGCCTGCACCATAGATGGAAGGGGGTAACTCTATGGCCCGTACCATAGATAGAAGGGGGTAACTCTATGGCCTGCACCATAGATGGAAGGGGGTAACTCTATGGCCTGTACCATAGATAGAAGGGGGTAACTCTATGGCCCGTACCATAGATAGAAGGGGGTAACTCTATGGCCTGTACCATAGATGGAAGGGGGTAACTCTATGGCCCGTACCATAGATGGAAGGGGGTAACTCTATG